GGACTGGTGCGAGCGGCTCCAGCTGCAGAGCGCAGCCATCGCCCGGCACACGGACCAGGTGCTGCCTGCCAAGGACCAGGGCGTGCTGGTGAGTCCCAGCCCTCCTCCCAGCCCAGCGTGCAGCCAGCTGGCCCCGCCTGCTCCCCTCCTCCCCATCCCTGGCAGAGGTGCCGAGCTCCTGGGGGCCTCGTGGGTGCACGTGCCTTGTCCCCTTCCTGCCCCAAAGGTTGTGCAGAGGGAGTGCTGGGGCACGCCTCTGCTTCCTGCCTCACCTGCCTAAAAAATGTACAGAAACAGTACATTTCTTGGTGTCAGTGTACAGCCACCAAACATCCTCCTAGGACCAGTCCTAACAATGCCTGATTGTTGTGTGCCTCGCTGTCACTGAGGACAAAAGCCCATTCTCTTGGTGGCTCTGTTTCTTGCTTCTTTCAGGAAGATCCTCTGAGGGATGGGGCTCTGCTCCCTTGCAGATTGTCACGTAGGTAGCAGGGTTAGGCCAGGAGGCAGCAGGCAGGTTTGGGACCACTGGTCCCATTCATCCCTACTTGCATCGAGGTGGTTACCATGCCTTGGACTCAGCCAGCAGAGGAATTTAACAGCTGAGCCCACAGAAAGCAGGCAGAAGTGGCTGGTGCTCTTGCTGGGGTTGAGGCAAGGCTGATGTTTCTCCTGTCCCCCTGCCCTGGCAGGATGCAGCCCATGCAGCACGGGAGCTGGTGATCCAGAGGCTGCTCTTCGTGGGGAAGGCGTGTGAGAACGAGGAGCAGAGGCTGCTGGAGGAGGTGCACAGGGAGGAGGAGCGGGCACACCAGAGCATCCTGACCCAGCAGGTGCACTGGACTGAGGCTCTGCAGAAGCTGACTGCCCTCCGGACCTACCTGGTGGACACTATCACCAACCTGGATGACCAGGGCCTGGTGGTGAGTACTGCTTCATGTGCCAAGGGTCTTGTGCCAAGGCAGTCAGCCCAGAAGTGACCTACACTTCTTACCATGGATATTGTGGGGCTTAAAGGTCATGTTCAGCAGCTTGCTGCTTGGATAGCAAGGAGGCAGAGTTGGGCAGGATCTACATTTGCAGGTCTAGCTCAGGGAACCTACTTCACTTGGTCTTGACAAGTCCCTGTGGTTCCTAGAGGTAGGAGCTCTGTCCCTGGTCTTGACAAGCCCCTGTGGTTTCTCAGTGGTTCCTAGAGGTAGGAGCTCTGTCCCCAGAGCATCTGCTCTGCCCAGTTAGGTTTGACAGCCAGGACAGCTGCAGGTTGAGGGCTTCTCTTACAGCAGTCAGCAGGGCCACCCGTTTTCTGGTGTTCTGTCTACTTTTAATCAGAACATGACCCTTGGCAGCTCTTCTCAAAGGTCTGCCCTGTTGTTGGGGACAGTTGCTGTGCAGAGCAGCCCATTCTTCCCTTCACTCTGTTCCTTTCCTGGCTGTTAGGTTGTCTCAGTTGACCCAGATGATTCCTCTGTAGACGTGGTGGGTGGGTGTGTTGTACCACCTTGCTCATACCTCTGCTTGCCACGTGTAACTTTGTGAAGGGGAGGCAGCAGTTCTGCTTGGAAAACAGAACTGACCCCACAGACAGAAGGCAGATGGTTGTTCCTTGGGTGGAAACACAGCTTCTGTCCTGCCCTGGCATCTCATCTGGCCAGGCTGGGGCCTCACTGTAGAGAGCAGAGACTAGAAAACAAGATCCACCAAATGCCTGTGGCAGAAAAGAGCAAGACCCTGAATTTCTCCTTTTGCCCCATAGCAGAGGGGAAATGGGGATCATACCTTCTCCACCTTGGATCCTTGGTGTTTGTGTCTATTGGGAAGCAATACATGTCACACCACAGGAAAGTGAAAGGTGTGTAGAGCACCCTGCAGCTCATGTCTGAGCAGGGATCAGATTGTCCCTGAGTCAGGACAACCCCCCCAATATCAGCCCAGACTGGGGGTGAGTGGCTGGAGAGCAGCCCTGGGGAGAAGGCCCTGGGGGTGCTGGGGGTGAGGAGCTGGCCAGGAGCCCCCAGCAGCCTGGGCTGCACCCCCAGCAGCGTGGGCAGCAGGGCAGGGAGGGGATCCTGCCCCTCTGCCAGCTCTGGGGAGACCCACCTGCAGTGGCGGGGGCAGCTCTGGAGCCCTCAGCACAGCAGAGCCAGGGAGCTGCTGGAGCGGGGCCAGAGGAGCCCCAGCAAGGCCCCGAGGGGGGAACCCCTCTGCTGGGAGCCCAGCAGGAGAGAGTTGGGCTGGGGCAGCTGAGAGGAGAAGGCTCCAGCTGGGGAGACCTGCTGGGGGCTGCCAGGGCTTAAAGGGGCCTGCCAGAAAGCTGGGGACAGACTTTTCAGCAGGGTCTGTTGGGACAGGACCAGGGGGAATGGTTTTAAACTGAAAGAGGGAGATTCAGACGAGATGGAGGGAAGAAATTTTCTGCCCTGAGGGTGGTGAGCCCCTGGCCCAGGCTGCCCAGAGAGGTGGTCACTGCCCCAGCCCTGGAACCATCCCAGGTGAGGTTGGCCGGGGCTCTGAGCACCCTGCTCTAGCTGCAGATGTCCCTGTCCCTGCAGGGGGTTGGACTGGATGAACAACCCCAGCCAGTCTGTGTTGCTGTGGTTTTCCTATCACTTTGCTAGCTGGGCTGTACCCTGAGAACGCCCCATTGCCAGTGGGTGTAGACACAAGAGGGTCTGATCACGAGGCTGTCTGACTCCTGGCTTAGGTCCTCTGCAGCTTCACCCCTTACTGAGAGCTTTGGGGGTTGTTTGCTGCAAGCACAGAGTATTCTTGTAGCCTATCCTAATGGGGTGGGTGAAGAGGGGGCACCTCAGGGCTGGGGGTTTTCACACTCTGGGCACAGCTGGGTGCAGCTGGGAGAGCTCCCAGATACAGACAGGTTGGTGTCTGCCAGAGGGTGTGGAGTCAGAGCTGGTTCTGTGTGTGTCTGAGACTTTACCCCTGCTCAGCTCTCCCATATTTCCCTTGCACCAGAAGATCCAGCTGTACCTGCTGTCTCCTGCTCTCCCTGCTTGCAGCACAGCAGAGATTACCCCTGGCTGGTTGTGTATCACCCTCGGCCACTCCCACTCATTTTCTGGGTTGGGGAGTGGGAAGTGCTGTGGCTGAATTAAGTGGATGTCAGATGCTCCCTGTGTTCCCCAGGGGCAGTGCTGCGGTGAGGAGTGGCTTCTCTGGGTTGGGAAGGAGAGCAGTGCTCCCTGGGGCCTGGGTTTGCTGCACCCCGGCCTGGGTTTGCTGCACGCCAGCCTGTGTTTGAGACCTTATCTGTGGGGATTTCAGTGCTGATGACTCTTTCTCTCCTTGTCCCCAGCATGCAGAACAGGAGATCTTTGAGAGGTTAGTACCTGGCTGCTCCTGGTCCTTTCCCTGACAACTGCTCCAAGCTTGCCTGCACCCTCCACGGCTCCTGCTGTGCCTCTTGTCTCTGCTTCACCGGCTGTGCTGCAGCTCAAGACGAAGGAGCCTTGGCACCTAGAAGTGCTCCCTGTGCAGCATGTCCCCAGACGCTCCAGCCCTCGCCTAGGGGAGACCTTCTCCAGCTCCTTGGGGAGCTCCTCAGGGCTCCCGGGAGCTGGGGGAACCCTGTCCCTGGGTGCTCCAGGCCTGGGGGGTGCTGGCACCGCCCCACGCTCCAAGCCCCACACTCCTCCCCGACAGAGAGACCGAGGGGCAGAGTCTCTGGCAGGCACCGACCGCCCCTCCCCACAGGGCAGCGCCGCGGCTGCGCCTTTGCAGGCGCCTTCTGCCCTGGGTGCTGCAGGGCTGCCCGCTCACGGCTCGGACTCTGCTTCCCGGAAGGCTTTTGGGAGCAGTTTTGCCCGTAAAGAGTGAGAAAGCGACCACAGCGTAACCCCAGCAGCCTTTGCTCACAGCCAGGAGGGCAGGGGTGTGCCGCAGGAACCCGGCACATTCCCAACCTCCCGGACCTGCGGGGGCGAGCCCGGCAGTGTC